ATAGCATTTGGAGATATTTCCCCTTAAAATTTCTAAAACTACAATTTATCACCCCTTATTTTTCTGCATTTTCCTCACTGTAAGCTCTATTACAATTTTTTTTTTCTTTCATTGTCCTTCAGGTGACTTGAAAGCCCATGGTTCAATAAATCCCCTAGTTAGAAGATTTTTCTCTAAGACCTCATTCCAGAGATTTCTAAACTGTGGGAAGTCTTTGTACAATCATCAATGATTATGAAATACAGAAAATTTCCCTGAGATTCCTGTTAAAATTGGTAATAACTTTCCACAAATATTAATCCAGCCACCCAGAGATGACACAGAATTTCTTTGATAAATATCAACGCATTTGAAGTACAGTATGTACCTGTACTAATTGTTCGAATAGTCCCTAATCTATTAATCTCACATGTATGTGTAGATTTTGGCTGTCTTCTGATAAGATAAACAAATACAAAGAATTATCCAAAATGACACTTTCAAGAAGCCTTCTTAGTAGAACAAAAGGAAGAGGAGCAAGTGGATATTATTCACGTCTGTATTGCTTACTCCCACCAACCATCAAGGCTGGAGTCTTGTATATTCTGGCACCCCATAAATGTTTGGTGAATTGACTAAACCTTGGTTTGTCCTTATTGCCAACCATCCTAAACAGCACACAAATGATTACTTCTTAGAAAAATTCTGACTAGTGTTTGATATTATCTATCTTTCTCTCCCATGCAGTTGTGTAAATGCTAAAAATTTTTTTTGAATGTTTTCTCCTTTGATCTTAATGCCCTCTACTTGAATAACAGCTTCATACAAAATTCTTACCAGCACAAACCACAGCCTATTCAAGGCGTCATTTTGAAAATGGTGTCAGCATCTTTTGAGAAGACAGATAGTACCTCCTTCTGCACACAAACTAAGAAAATAGATAATTTGGTATTAACATAAGAACTAAAGATATTTTAAATGTGTTCTTTGATTTTTTATGATCAAAAGAAAAAATTTTAAAGAAGAAACAAAATGTTCCCACAAACCTGGCTCTGTTATAAAGAAATCCTGTTTTTTCATGCATTAATAAAAGGATTCAATTACAAGATTAAATTTTAAACATAACTTTTAAAATTTAAACAGCAAAAGCATTGTATTTAACATGAATGTGAATAAGCAAAAAATACACACCTAGTAAGGTAGAGTTTCTGATCAAAGTTAAAATATTACTGTATTTCATACTTTGTACAATTTACAATCATTCCTATATTTTATAGTATAGCTTTAGAAATGACCTTGCCCTTTGATATCCTAAATTTAACAATCCTCAGAACAAAGTGACCATCTCTTCTGCTTTAAGAACAAATGAACCGAGCCCTAGGGAATGGCACTGTCTGGGCCTTTGAACACAACGAAAGTGATAAATCCTGTTTGATGTGTATAAACATCAGCAAATTCATTTTGATTTAATAAAAAGGTGAATTTGTTTCACATCCTGTGAGGGAATATTTTCTTCTTCCTGAAAACACTCTTATTCTCCAGAGGTTGCTGCGTTTTCCTGGGGTGCAGGGTAGGAAGTGAGCGTTGCTGCCATGAAAATGACATCCGCGGAGGTTTCAGCGACATTCACTTCTCAGAATGCACTGTGGTGGGACACTCAGAGCATGAGGAGAGGAAAAAAACCCTTCGACTTCACCAAAATGTCACACTGCATTGAAAGCCAAAAGGAAAAGCTGTAATAGCAACAGTATAAATTCATTATTTGTAATCTTATAGTTCCCTAAATCTTTGTTATTTTAAAAGATTCAGAGAAGTGACTTTTAATATTATACTGGCATTTCAACCCTGAAAAGCCTTAGAAAGTTAAACCCTACAGCCAATACATTTCAAAATTAGGAATTTTAAGTATATGTTCAGAAGAACTGAAAATTTCACCTTCCTAAGAACTTAAAAAAATAAAAAGATAAAAAACAATTCCAACAGACTATTGCCAAAAAATCTTTTAGACTAAAATGTTATGATGATTTAGACTTATCTGGTCTTACTATATAAGGTACATACAGACTTAAAGCTAACTTCAGATAACATCATGGTAGAGAGACCTGATTTCCTATTTTGCTGAGGTCTTGCGTAGCTGAGGTCCTGAAGATCACAAACTTGTATATCTATGGCTTCTATTCCTCCATCATCCTCATCACCATCCTCACTGTGTGGAGCGTACTGCAGTTAAACCTGCAAGCAGGACTGAGGGAGACATCGAGGTTTCTGTCTGCCGAGCATCCCTTCTCTAGTTTCCTCTGAAGAGTCCTTCTGTTTCAGACCATGTACAGCTAATACCAAACCCCTTACCCAGGGGACGGAAACCAGACTGAAGGTTAGTCAACCAAACATTCCATTCTCCATCCTCAAAGACAGTAAGCAGCTACAACTGCCCCTATAAGAATCATTCTGCAACTCCAACTGAAAATTCCGACCAAAAAAAAAAAAAAAGTGCTTTCTTTTTCTTGCTAGGATTCAGTACTACCTCTAAGGTATTAGCATACTGAAACAGGGTGTCTAAAAATGAAGCTAAAACTAGAAAGAGATGCTGGTAACTTTGACTGACAGGGCCAACCATGTCTTCAATGGCAAGATTTACTCAAGGCTTTTTGCATCTAACAAGTAAAATCTCAAAGCCAGTTTGAATTGGTGTTGTCTCTTGCAGCTAAAAGGATCCTCATTCCAAAACATAAGCCTAAAAATGAACCTGATTGCTTTTGAAGTTTCTAATGGGTTTTTCCTCTTCTTATACATAATCTGCTTTAGTCCTCACAATTTGGGACTATTAACACATAATTATTCTTCATTATTTTTGAATACACACTCCATGAAAAAGGGTGGGAGAATGGGGGGGGGAGGTGATTGATAGAAAATCTCCCTTTCATGGAAGAAATGTGGAGGCTACATATTTCAGGGCTTGATGGTTATTCATTAAATGAAAGAATAAACAGTATCAAACAGGTGATCCTTCACTAATCCCTGGGTGATATGCTATGAAGCTGTTATAAATTGCTAACAGTCTTAAGAGAATGGCTCAAATAGGAAGACATATAGATAGAATCAGGTTAGGTGTGGGCACCTTAGATTTAGCACATCTATGTGGGCATGGCCATTGTCACTGGGATAGGAAAAGCAGGACCTGGCAGGTTAGTCATACCTCAAGGATATATAAGCAAAAAGATCCAACAGGCTTGTAGGTTGACAGGTCTGACTGAAAGGCACAGAGGGATTGACAAGATGGAGGTCACTGAAATACAAATGACAGCTCAGGGATGGGCATCATCTTACCAAGAAGAAGAACAGGAGGTAACCACCTCCCTGAAGGTAATCTCAGCCCTGCTGGCTGCTCTGAGAAAACAGGTTCCAGGTTTGTTCTTGGTTGCAGCTGGGCAGACATGACTGGCACTCCATACATGTGTGTGGAAGAGTATAAGACTTGTTCTCCATGGGTGCTTTTCCGGGTGCCTCCCATGGAGAGAGCTGCCACTCCTGGCTGCTCCATTGGGTGTAGGTTCATGATTGAGCTCTCACCTCTTATATTAGCTCACGCTCTCACATTAGATGTAATCACAGCTGGCAGGGCTTTCTGGTGATGTCTCAAAGACAAGAGTCAGAAAAATATTTTTTGTGATTTTCATTTCATTCCTACTGTTGCCTCTTCGGCAGTGACAACCCCTTTCCTTTCACCTGCCCACTCAGTGATTCAGTAGGCCTGAGAATGAAGGTGGGGTCAGAGATAGCATTTCCTATCAAGTCTGGAAGAAACAAAGGAGACAGAGAAGCAGACAGGCGTGGCTGTTGGGGATTTGAGGACTAGCTTGGGGAGAGCATACCAAAGGAGGCGGAAGAATTTGCCCTGGATGAGCCCCGCGACGTGGAGGGAAGGTACAGCAGCCCCATTACTCCCGCCTCCCAGTGCCCCTCGCGCTGGGTACCCCCTGCAGCACGCTATAGTCTGGCGGACACAGCAGCTTCAGTGTGGCGCGGCAGCGACCAGACCAGAAGAGCTCGGCAGGCAGCATCCTGGCCGGCCTCTGCCAGGGTCCAGAACTATCTGACCGGACAGATCTGCTGGCCGAGTTCATCCTTCAGATCTCTGCCTTCCAACACCCAGGCTAGGATGGGCCCTTCCTCCGACCATCTCTGTGAGTCTCAGTCTCAATCTCTCAATTTTCTCTGGCGCTGAATTTTGACTCTCACGCTTGTAAATACGTGTGTTGTGTGGGGGGGGGTGACTGTACGAGTGGGACAATTCACTTATGGTCCAGATGACCCTGGAAGGTCACCCATAAATCACAGGACATGGTGTCTATATTCGCAGCAATAATGTACAGGAACTCTAGGATATGAAGCATGCAGAAAAGGCGCAGAGTACGTAAAAAGTACTGAAGAAAAATATTTCAAGCGCAAAAGAGAAAAAGCAGTAGTAAGTAAATGAGCCCGAGTGCCGCGCCTCAGTATTTGTCACCTTCTTGCACGCTGGTCTGTAAGGGGCTTCATCCCCTTTGCTTCCACCACAATTTTGGCGGCCAGCCCAACGCTGGGCCCTTCATATGACCAACCCCGAATAAGTGATCGAGTCAATGAATGAATGAATGAATGAGTGAAGGTTCATCACACCCCGGAGTCCGCAGAACAGGAGCTTCGACAGGTGGGGGACGGCGAGAGGCCCAGCTTAGTCCTGGCGGCCGCGGGCCGGGCCCGGCGGGGCCGGGAAAGGACCGCGCACACCCAAAGACACCTGCCCGGGTCGGAGCGCGGCCGGGTCCCCACCGCGTCTCGTGCGCCACCCCGAGCCCCAGCGCGGCCCCGCCCCGCGCGCGCACCCCACACCCGGGATGCCCCAGCACGCGCTCGCCCCTGCCGCCAACCCGCTCCCCGCGCCCGCTTGGGGGCGCTCCCCTTCCACCCCGCGCTCCCACGCGCACGCCGCTCAGCCCTCTGCGATTCTGCTCGTGACCCTGGCGCGCGCCGCCGCCTACCTGAGGGCCGGCGAGGGAGGCGCGCAGGAAGGGCCGACGACGCCGAGCAAGGCCTGGGCACGAGGCGTTAGGCGGGCGAACGGCGGCCGCGGCGGACGGACCCGGCGCGAGAGCGCGCGCACGCGCGGGCGCGCTCCCTGCCCTCGCTCCCTCGGTCGACTCCCGGCCAGAGCCCAACCCTGCTGCCGCGCGCCGCCAGCCTTCCCGAGCCTAATAACAACGGCGCCCAGGGTCAGGTGGCCGCGCGCGGACAGCGCCGTCATTGGCCCGGCGGGGAGCGCGGCGCGCCAGGATTGGCTGGAGGGCGGGGCCTAGGCGGGGCGGGGGCGGGACTGCTGAGGGAGGCGGGTCTTGGTGGCGGGGGCGGGGCGAGGCCGTGGTCCGCGCCTTTGTGCCCGGCGCGCGCTCTCCGCCCGGCTCCGGCTGCAGCGTCCGCTGCATCAATAATTCAGAGCGGCGGCAGCGGCGGCGGGTGCGGGCAGGAGGCGACAGCAGCGGCGGCTATGCATCCAAGTGCGGCTGGGCAGCCGCTGCACCCCTGAGGCCCGGGCGGGGTTCCCGGAGCATCCCACGAGGGACGCTTGTCCCGGAGCGCTAGTGACAGCAGGAGTGACCAGAAGACGTCGGCGAGCTGCGCCCCGAGCTGAGGAGGGGGCTTCAGAGAGGGGCTGGGGCGGGGGGTGGCTGGCGCGAGCAGCCCCCGGGGCGGGGGGCGGGGTGGGCTCCGGCGGCGCGATGCGGGGCGTCGTGGAGCTGCTGCTGCTGGGCGCTGCGTGGCTGGCAGGCCCGGCCCGCGCGCAGAATGAGACCGAGCCCATCGTGCTGGAGGGCAAGTGCCTGGTGGTGTGTGACTCCAATCCCACGTCCGATCCCACTGGCACAGCCCTGGGCATCTCCGTGCGCTCCGGCAGCGCCAAGGTGGCGTTCTCTGCCATCCGTAGCACCAACCACGAGCCGTCTGAAATGAGTAACCGTACCATGATCATCTACTTCGACCAGGTGAGCTCACTTTTCTCGGGGTGCACATCGGATGTGGGGTACGGGGTAAGCAGCGGCGGAAGACGGATGACCAAGGTCTGCAAGAGCTCCGCGGAGGCGCGGAGGTGCGGGGAAAGCAGCTGGGACTGACTCGGGTCTCCTCCCCTCGTTCTCATTTCCTTATAGGTGCTAGTGAACATCGGGAACAACTTTGATTCCGAACGCAGCACTTTCATCGCCCCACGCAAAGGGATCTACAGTTTTAACTTCCACGTGGTGAAAGTCTACAACAGACAGACTATTCAGGTCAGCTGCCACCTCAGGTCGGGGCCTGGCCCTGGCAGGGGACTGCTTACCGCGGGGGTGCGCGCGATCTGTGGAGGTGGGGGACAGAAGTGGCAGCTGCTTGTACCCGGGTAGCTTGGAGGGACAGAAAGGAGAGTCTCACAGTTCTGCAGCTTGGACTGTCCCTTGCTTTCTCAGTTGCTGGCTCTCACGACCCACCTCCATCACCAGAGAGGGTTCTACTTCCTCCTTCTGGGCCCCTTGGAAGAGGTTCCCCGGCTCTCTTAGGGGACTCCCGAGACTTTATGTGACATCTGCTGCTAGCCACACAGACAGCCCTATCTTCTGTAAGCTTCATAGGGCTATCCCCGGCACCACCAATACCCTCAACCCCTTGCCGCAGCCCCGGGACTGAGAGGTGTGTTGTACTCTCTCGCCATCATCCCCGGGAAGGTCCCATTCCTCTAATCTGGTGGCCTGGGGACATCCCTTTTTATGGGTGACTTCCATTTTTTGAACTAGCAGCTTAGCGCCTTGGAGGATGAAGGGCGGAGAGAGAAAAGCGAGATTGCACTGTGCGACTTCTCCTAGCTCCAGCCTTGTCCCGGTCAGCACTCTGTGCTTTCGTGTTCCCAAAGACGCCCAGATGTCCTTTAAGCACAGACAGAAGCCGAAATTGCCACTGGAGACAGTGACCTGGCTCTGGTCTGGCGAGGCCACCGCAAGGGCAAAGCAGGCTGCGGCGGGCGCGGGCTGGAGCTGGGCAGGGATGGAGCCAGCGTTTTGGAGATGTAGCCGCGCGTACCTCGCTGCGCGCTTTCTAATCAGGTGGAAGCCTCGCTAAGGTTCTCCAGGCTTCTCCACCGCGTCCCAGCAGCTAGGACCAGGGGAACCTCCTTTTCTTGTTTGGTTTTGGTTTTTCGGGAGGAGAGTTGCCTGAGTTTCTCGTTGGGTTTGGGGGAAGCGGGAGAGACTTGTAAGGTCTCAGCCACCTGCGATTCGCTAAACTGGATAATGCAGCTGGGTTCTCTAGGCGCGCGCGCAGTTGAGAAACTGGGGTCGAAGACCACTCCCGAGTTGGGGAGCAGATGCTTCCTCTCACCCAAATTATTTGGCCTCTAGTCTCCACCGCACCTCCTGCTGTAAGCTGCAAATACCAGCACTCTCCCTTAGACCGCTCCCTGAGGCCTTTGAAGTTACCGGCTTCCGCATTCGCCGCCCGCGCCACCCCCTCCCCATGTCGCGCCGTTCTAAACCGGGTCTTTCTTTTTTCCAGGTGAGCCTGATGTTAAACGGGTGGCCGGTGATTTCAGCCTTCGCTGGGGACCAGGACGTGACCAGGGAGGCCGCCAGCAACGGAGTCCTAATCCAAATGGAGAAAGGCGACCGAGCATACCTCAAGCTGGAGCGGGGAAACTTAATGGGGGGCTGGAAGTACTCGACCTTCTCCGGATTCCTCGTATTTCCCCTCTGACTGGCTCCTAACCGGGATGGAGGCCGGGAGAGGGCAAAGGCAGGCGGGCGAGAGACAAAGACTGAAAGTAAGAAGGCCAGAAAGCCGCACCGCTTGGAACTTCCCACTCGTTCCCCACCCTCGTCGGGTAATCAGGTGCGCACCGGCGGTTGGACGACTTGGTGTGTTTCCTTGTTAGAAGTAAATTCTGCTTAGCTCTGCGCACTCCCGTTTCCAAAAATAAACTCAACTCGCCTCCCCCAATCCAGTTGCAGTAATCAAGAAAAGAGACTGCCTTGTCATTGTTTCTTACTCCCATGCTCATGTTCCTAGCGATTTATTTAAAAGAAACTTTGTATTTAACTATATAATGTGAAATATTTCCTCTGTCCTCCCCTCTGAATCCTTCCACGTACTGAAGTCCAATCATTTTCCTTCCCCTTTTTCAGTTTGGAGAGGGGATGAGTTTTTTGTTTTGTTTCCGAATGGGGAAAGTAGTTTAAATCTGACAAGTATTGCTCTTCTTAAAACATTTCGAGTTAATTAGCTGAAGATATGTTGTATCCTCAGCTGCCCGTTAGCCAAGAAAGGACTCACCTTACTGGTGACTGATTTAAAATATACATAAATATATATCATTTGTACACAAAGAACTCTTCGCAGTGGAAACTGGCTGTGTTCCCGTTATTTCTGTGTCCTGTTCGGAGTGGTCGTGAGTCTAAGGCTGCTTGGTGTTCTGATGCTTGTCAACGCCCTCGTACTCTGTGGCCCTGCTAACCGCCCAGGAGGATCATCCGGACACGTCCTCTTTCCCTGTACCATATGTGTGAATAGCCAAGATTTAATTTTGCGTTAATCCAATAAAGTCAAAGCGGGACTTTTATTTTTCTGAAACAGCTTTCTGAACTCCGCATCTTCCCAGGCTTCAATGGTGAAGCTGGGGACTGAGGGTGCCCAGGGCGAGGCTGAGAGAGGCAGGACTCATCAACTCCACCAGGAAGGCCGGGCGCAAAGGCCGGCGTGAAACTGGTTTGAGCTCCTGCCTTCGCCAGGCCTGTGCAGGCCTGCTTCGGCTGTGCACCCTGCTTTGTTTGGCACAAACCTAAGAAATGGGGCTCCCGGCTTGGGAGTGAAGTTTGGGTTTTTCGGATTCCAAATGCATAGGAATCGTTCCTATTCAGAAACCCAAAACCAGCCTGCCCGAGTGGCAGCTTCCCTGCGCCTTCTGCTCCTGGATGTCCCCCAACCTCGTCTGCTCTGCAATTCCTGAAGCAGCGTATGTTTTATACCAATGCCTCTGAATCCCGAGTACCCTGCCAATGACCCAGCACCCTGGACCTGTGATCGCACTCATTTGCAGGACTTTTATTGGAGAGGTTCCAGAGGAGTTTTGATTGTATCGGAATATAATGTGAAAGCAAAATTGAAATAAACGACTTTGTTTTAAGTCTGGAAGCCTGATCCAGTCACTTGGGCTGCAGCAGGGAGGTTGGGTGCTGGGGAGCAGGTGGGTGGCGACCCGGGACAAAGGGCAGGATCCTTGGTCGATGGGGTTCCTCTGCTTCTAGTCCCTCTGAGGGGCTTTTTCCTGGCCTGAGATCTAGGGTTGAATTACTGGCTTCAGGAGGAAGAAGAGAGGAAGAGGAAGAGGAAGAATGATAAGAGCACAATAAGCAACATTGCTCAGATTTATTTCTGCGGTTTGCCTGACTTAGAGATTTCCTGAGTGGGGCAGGGGCTCTGGGTTGAAATCCAGGCTCTGTTTCTGCAGCTGCAATTCAGGGGACTCCTGGAGCCCCAGAGGCCTGGGGTCCTTGGGGATATGTGGGAACTTTGTGGTGAGGCTAGGAATGCTTTTTTCTTCATGCCCGATGGCTGGTTCCCTTTTTCCTCAGTCAGTCCCAAAAGAAGTGTGGATGAGGAGGAACAGAGAGTCCTCAAGGAATTGAAAAGAAAAATTACTCTTTGTTCATAAAGAAACACATGGCCTGCGGTCTTTCTATGGGGAAGGAGACGCTGGGGACTCTTTGATGGTGGTAGAAGGACCTCAAGCCTACAGAACCTCAGTGCAGAGCCCACCCTCCAGGCAAGCAGAGACCCCTGCAGGTGGGAGGCTCAAGGCTGGCTGGGCTGTGTAGTCATGCAGCACAGAGGCAGAGTCTGCATCACTCCAGAGCTCACAAGGCTATGGGTGTGTATTCTCCCCTCTTCCTGAGGGCAGGACCAATAGGGTTGTTGTCCTAGCAGTTAGGGGACCAGCAGGGTGTGTCCTAGCTAGGTGACTTTGATGCCCTCTCTCTCTCTCTCACTCTCTCTCTCTCTCTCTCTCTCTCTCTCTCTCTCTCTCTCTCTCTGGGCCCCAGTTTGCCTATTTCTATAAAGACAGGGACAAATTCCAAAAAGCCCCTTCTGTTCTGTACATCTAGCCATTCTTTGTGCCTGGACCTGAAGCGGGCAGATACTTTTGCCTTGGTTTGTGATCTTGATTGGAGCACGGACTGTGTGTGTGTGTGTGTGTGTGTGTGTGTGTGTGTGTGTGTGTGTTTTGGGGGGGTAGATGTGCATGAGGAACTGGGGCACATTGAATCCCTGCTCTGGGGCATTGAGGGTGAAATTAGTCAAAGCAAATGGGCCTTAGTGAGGAATGGGAAGGAGAGGTTCTCCTGAATTCTGCCCTGGCCCAGCTGATTGCCTTCTTGGAGGAGAGTCCTTGTCTCTTCAAAGCCTGAACTTGGCACTGGAGACCCTTCTTAGTCTAGCTGCAGCCTTTTTTCCCTCTGCATGCTGATTCCTCCCTCTGCCATTTGATGGATACATTTACCATTGTTATCTTTGGATCTCCACACCTGCTATTCTTGTCCTGGAAATTGAAGTATCTTTTCTTTTCAAAATTCTGTCCTACGGAATACCTGTGAAATTCAAGGTGCTCCCTCTAGGACACTTGCCTGTGCACACAGTACCAGCACTGGTGTCTGAGGATCACCACCCTTCCTTGTTCTCCAACCACATCTTGTTTAGAGACATCTGGAGCTGGACTTGTTCCCCACTCTGCTTTGTGCCCACAGGGCAGTGGTAGCTCAAATTGGCAAGCCCTTGAGAGTGCCAAATGGTGTCTCTGCCCTAAAGGTTCTGGGGGTTTACATCCCCCAAACTGCCCTCATTCTCAGGCCCGAGCTTCCCATTAGCCTGTGTTGGGCTGTGGGTAGCTCCTCTCAAGGGCCTAACACAGGACAGCAGGTACCTCCTTTCCTTCTCCTCTGGGGCGAAGAAATGGGAGGTGGGGCTTAGTGAGTCACATTTGGCTGGACTGTAGAAAAATTTGGGTCCAGACTGGAGGGCCTCAGATTCTGACTAGTGTGTTGGAGATCAACAGGGTTGGAGAAAAAAGGATCTGTACCACCTTGCTGCCCAAACCAGAGATTTGGAGGGGAGGAGGACCATTGTACCTCATGATGGCTTCCTTTAATGCTTTGAATTCTCTTTATCCTTGCAGATCTTGGAGCCCTGCTTTCTTTTAATGCCACCTGCTTTCTTTTAATGTAAACTATTTTAGATCTGATCCTCGAGCGCAGTGATGCTGAACTTTTTTAGAGCTTCCAATGACAACAAACATCTGGCCATGGCACACGTGCCATAGGTTCCCCACCATGCTGGAGGGGGTTCAGGACCATCCTTTCCTTCAGCTTTACTCTCTGAAGTTCTCCTCCCCAGCCTGCATCACCTTGGTTACTTCTTCCTCACCTGTCCACTGGATATATTCTTCCCAGAGTTCAGCATTCAGCTAGGCCTAGGGGATGTTAGGCATCTCCTGATGCCTAACATCCAACAAGTTGGCTTCTTTGCCTGGTTCTCCACACTGTGCCAAGTGTTCCTTGAGCCTGGTAGGTGAGGGTCCCTGCTTTCTGCCCAGCATTGCCAATTTAGCCACTTCCCATGTTCGTGGAGCTGGAAGCGTGCCTTCCCACACCTTCCGAGATGCATTGGGTCAAATAAGCTCTTAATGAGAAAATAATAACCTAGATGGAGTGGAGCCTGTGCTGGCTTCTTAATTGTTACCTTAATGGGATGATAGTGGAGGCTGCTGGCAGAGGTAAGAGGCAAGATTCTCCCTTGGGGCTTACGTTAGCTTTTAGTGGCCAGCTGACAGCAGATAAGGCCTGGTGCAACCTCACAGGACATTTTCCTCCAATTGCAGGTCTGTCCCTAAGTCTAATCCTTCCCCTCACCCAGTCACACACCTCCAAGCAGGAGCTTGGTCAAGTTCTGTCACTCCCCAAGGCATTCAAACAAAATAGGAAACTTTACCCACTCTGGGGGACTCATCTCCTGGAATTGAAGCCCAAATCCAGAGGAAGGCTCAGGCCCTCTCTCTATTGAGCTTATTCCATGGATAAAAGAAAGGTTGCCCAGGGGACCAGTACAAAAGCTTCTGAATCTCACTGTACAGAGATTGTCATCCTCTCACGAGCCTCAGTTTCTTCATTTCAAGTGGGGGCAATAAGGTCTTCACAGCAGAGTAGTTGGGAAAACTTTGCTAAAAGGTATTTTAAAATGCTCAGCACTGGCCAAGAGATTAGATACTGAAAAAGTGTTAATAATAATGAAGAGTAATAGATATGAGGGTCACACTGTCATAGAAGCAGAACATAAGGGAATACCTAGCTGGACCCCCACATCGGAGGGGGAAACTGAAACCAGGAAGGAGGAGGAACACAGAGTCCGTGAGTATGAATGCACATATGGGAAGAGGATCCGAACACTTATTCCTTCCCTGCCCCTCCATCAGCCACCGAGTAGGAGAGTTTATGCCCCAGTTGCCTTCTACTGTCACTTCTGTTGCTGCTTGTGCCTCAGCACTTGCATGGGGCGCTGTGGGTGAATATACCCTCTGCTTGTCTTCATGCTCCTCCACTGGAGCACAAGTCCTGTTTGCTTTCTGTGTCCCTTTGGAAGGCATTCCCTTCCAATGCAGTAACCGTGCTTTTCACCATGCTTGGCTTAGGGCCTCCCAAGATAGCTGGCACAGAGAAAGTGCCCTGTGATGGTGTTACCAACCAAACCAAAGTGTACCTGGCACTCAGTCCTTGTTTCCCCACCCATCCCCACACACTGCTAAGAATACTAACGTGGGGGTCCTCTTTGACCTGAGCAGGCAGTGGAACCTTCCTGGACATCTTACTCCTACCTCTTCTCACTTTGCTCTGAGCTCAAGTCATTTCAGAAGTCCCAGATGTGTGACACTTGGTGGCAGTGAGCAGTGACAATAAAGAAGTCAACATTAGATGTGTGAGTGGACATTTGGGCTTGGTGCTAGGTCTTCTCACTGGGAAGATGTGTTGCTGTACATGGACATGATTGCCTATACTTCAACAGTAGTGAGGAGACAGTATGGCTGGTATCAAGGAGGAGCACTTTCTTATGATCTAGATCCAGTTGTGTGGCTGCAGTCTAGAGCCTAAAGACAGACATCACTGCTTCCTTTGCTGAGCTTTGAAGAGTTTTGGGAAGGAGCATAGGGTCAGGGACCAAAGATAGACTTCTTTCTCATCTGAGAAGACTTCAACCTGACCTCAGGGTTCTGCTTAAGCTCTACCTGTTCTTTAAGGCCTCCCCTGTGCTGGCAACCTGAACTCTGCTTGTCAGATTACGCCCCGACCACCACTCTTCTGGGTGCTAAGCTCCGTGAGGATTTGGCCCTGGACTCTGTGTTCCTAGGAGTGTGTACCCAGGACTTGGCACAGTGTCAAGGGCAGGAGATGTTATTTCCATGTTCCTTGAATAGATGATTGATCACATGAATGGGTGGACAGTTGGATGGAGGGATTACTGGTTGTGGGCATGTCTGCCTGACCCACCAGACTATGAGCCTCACAAGGGTATCTGCCTTGTCTATTTTGTTTATAATTATATTCCAAGTGCCTAGCAGAGTGTCTGGAATACAGCTAGCATGAGAAGTATTTCCTAAGTAAATATGGTACTTTCGAGGGACTCACTGGACTGTGAGATTCTGGAGTGCAGGCTTAGCACTGTGTCTTTCTCTAGGTCCTCATCAAAAAAACTCCTAAACTTCAGGATGGAATTGCATTGTAACTGTTGTCTCGGGTCGACCCTCAACAGAAGTTGTCTTTGCATACTGTTTGCCCCATCCCAATATGCCCAGCATGCTATGAGAATCTTACAGGTCAAGTCCTATATTTTATTTTTCTTAAAGGCATTTTCTTAAAGAACATTTTTCTTAAAGAACATTTTCCCATTTCCTCCAGCATCTAGGAATATTGTTCAATACTGCTTGGTTGCTCCATGAATCCAGGAACAAGCCATTTAGTCTGTAGCAATGCATAGGTACTGAAGGCCTTAGTGATGGTGGTATCCCGTGGTGGCAATGAGTTGGTGAAGTCTAGCAGGTTGCCAGGTGCAAATGGTAGCCACCTGGAGCCTTAGCCAGTGGAGGGGCT